TATAAGTGTTAGATGGGGCTTTGAGCAGTCTGGTCTAGTGGGAGGTGTCTCTGCCCATGGCACAGGGGCTAGAACTAGATGATCTTTAAGGTCCCTTCCAACCCAAACCATTCTGTGATTTCTATGACTTGCCTTTCAAAAGTCAGCTCTATCAGCTGCATGCTTCATTACTCCAATGCAGCACTGGAAACAATTCATTCTGCAGCCTTTCATTTCTGCTAGAGAAGTACCAAGATAACATTAGTGCGACTAAGCTGCAGAATTCATACAGACACTAAATAAATTCTTTCAGCTGCAGGGTTTTTTAATACCTGATCAAAAGTTGTCTGTAAAACAAACAGCTGGCTAAATTCGAGGTGAATGGTAAGCAAGAAATTTGTCAACAAAGAGAAAGGATCCAACTGCTTTAAATCTAAAAATGTAACTTCAAGCTTGGGAGATCACAGCTTCAAGAGGTGCCCTGTACTTGGCTACAAACCCTTATTCTGTGTTAGCTCAGGTTCCTCATGCTAAAATCCCAAGAATATTCTCTTTCCTAAATTGCTTTCTAGCCTTTAGCTACATGTGGCAAGAAATTTGTCAACAAAGAGAAAGGATCCAACTGCTTTAAATCTAAAAATGTAACTTCAAGCTTGGGAGATCACAGCTTCAAGAGGTGCCCTGTACTTGGCTACAAACCCTTATTCTGTGTTAGCTCAGGTTCCTCATGCTAAAATCCCAAGAATATTCTCTTTCCTAAATTGCTTTCTAGCCTTTAGCTACATGTGTCTACATATTTATACACACACAGAAGGATTTAGTCTCTAAATTAAACAGGAAGGGCCTGTACGGTGCCAGCATATTACAGCCGGACTCATTAACGATATTTTTCGGTTTTGTGGAGAACGTTCATGCAGAGACGGCGTCAAAGCCATTTAAAATTAGTTCATTCCTAAGAACCCTCCTCCACGACCCCCAGGAGCGGCGGCGGACGCCCAGTTTCGGCTATCCAACCGCGCCGCTCGCCGGTGGAGTTCGCCCCTCTACGGGATGCGGCTGTCCCGGGGCTGCCTTCCCGCGGCGGCTGGCACCGCCCACCCGGCACCGCCCCGCCGGGGCCCTTCCTCCATTCGGGTGCCTCTTTGCCGCGCGCGTTAGAGGTCACGGTGCACTCGCGAGCGGAGTTGCTTAGCAACCCAGCGCGTTCGGGGGCGGCGTCCGCCTGGGCGTGGT